GGCTAGCTGTACTCTCCAAAACTATGTCCAAATAAGTAACAGCTAACTTGATCAGCTTAGTACATAAACTAATAAAGGCAACTAACCATAAGATTATTTTGATATTAAAAAAAAAAAAAATTAATTATTGTCACAAATTAAAATAAAATCTGATCAAAATAAAATAAAAACTCTTTTTTATTTTACTTTAGAACCTATAAAACCCATATATCTTTGTTTATTAATACTGTATATTTCTGAAAATAAGCTACCCTTTTTTGGACGATTTTGAACACAAAAAACCAATAGTAGTTTATTTTTGGATATAATCGATTTTGCTCAATTCCAAAAAATTTTATTAAGTAAATCGATGACATGTATTAAGTAAAGTTTGTTCAGGAGAACAAAATACACATATCCTGAAAATTTCAAGTAAATCGGATAACTTTTTATTAATTGACTTTTGATTTTTACGTTCAATGAATATGAATTTTAAAGAAATTTTAAAAAATTCGTCGAAGGTAACATGCAAAAACGTATTAATAAAAGGTTATCTAATTTGCATGAAACTTTCAGGATATATGTATTTTGATCTCCTGAACAACTTTCACTTAATAAGCTATGTTGATTTACTTAGTAAAATTCCGACTTTACTATAGGATAACTACCAGCGATCGTATAGTAGCTTATTTTCGGGTATAAGAGGATTTTATGATTTTCTTCTAAAAAAGAAAGGTAGCTTCTTTCGGATGTAGCTTATTTTTGGAAATATACGGTAATCATAGCTCTAAACACTAACCTTAATGCTAAAAAAAACAAAATATGATCTAAAAAATTTAAAAAATAAAAAAAAAATTGGTTTGATCAAATTTCATTTTAATTTGTTCCAATAACTAATAAATCCCAAGATATATTGATTAAATATTTTAACAATACAATAATAAAAATATATTTATATTTAAAATAAAATAAAATTTTTAAACATGTGCTTTTTAAAAATTGTTTAAATTGTTTCAAAGTCTCAAGTCATTATTTTTATACTATTTAATGTGATAATAATAATTGACATGGTTTTGTTATATTTATAAATAAACAATAATGATATTAATGATATGAATTGTTTTTTTAATTCTAAGTTGAACTTTATAATCCAGTATTATATCTAAAATATAAATATTTTGCAAATAACATAAAATTTGAGACCATGATTTGTATTTATTGTTTTGGATATTGGTGAAAGTGTGATTCAATTATTTATAAAATTTTATTAAATCAAATTTATTTTTAAAAAGGTTATAAACTTGATCAAAGTTTTCAAAATTACTGAGTTGGGTTTGTCACTTACCAATCGTGTTTTATGGCCCTTTTTATGTGCCATTTGCACAATCGAATTTTGATTCCTGGTCAAATGGAATGTGCAGCATTAATTTGTACAAAATCTTTGTAAGAAAAAAACGTGGATTTATCCCTTCATCACGCAATTTTGAAAGAACTATTTGGATCATGATAGTACGTGTTCTATCAGTGCACATACTGTTATTTTTTTAAAAAAAAAGGTAAGCCAGATAACACAATAGGTAATGGAAGACAAGCGGGTTTCAAATGTCTTCATAATATTTCAAAAATATCCGAGGTGAAATATTTAAAATCAATCAAACTTTGTCAAAAGAGACAATTTGAGAAATAACGGTATGAGTAACAAAGATTTATTAGGTGCAAATAGGTAGAGAATATTTTTATAAATAATCTGAAAACAAGCTTGCGACAAGATGAACTTTTTGCCAAAGTACAATAATATTACGCTGAAGTTCGCCAGGTAATTTAAGATGAATTTTTTTAACTAATCTGATTTTCATCAGCGGCTTATTCGTTATTGCTCACCTGTCGGGAGATTTTTTAGACGAGTCAGACCAATACACGTGAATATATGCAAGGTTTAATCTATTCTGATTTACTTTCCAAAAATTTCCAAACCTTTTTGTGTTTTTTATTTTAAAAATTCTATTTTATTTCGTTAATTAGCCAATCTTTAATTGCCAAAATTTCCATTTTATTACATATTTTATTCCATTTTTATATTGCGTAATGAAAGTATTCATCATCCCTGTTTTTAGCTCAAAGGCGTGCCATGTGGACATGCTCAAAAACTTTGTGCTTTAAGATATCTATTCACTCAGGAGCATACACCCGACTTTGTATCGAAATTGTATCCAAATGTCATTTTTGGCCAATGATATTGTTGTGCTTGAAGTTTGCATCTGCTTGAAATTATAACTTCAAGCGCTTGAAGTTAAGCCTGACAGAAATTTGCCCCTGAAATTAGATCTTCCTGCATGCATTAGTTAGCAAGTTAGGCAGATTTAACTTCAAGCGCTTGAAATAAATCCTTAATACTGTTGAACTGTGGGAAAGTTCATATATTGTTACATATAGGGGCTTTGCTTGAACGGGCTAAACTGGTTTTGACCATCTATTCAATTAATGATTGGTTAATTTTATTGGTCAAAAATCGGCTTAACTTTGTTATTCAAACTTTACATAAATTAGTAAATATTACGCAATGACGTTATAATCGTTAATTTTTTACAATCAAGCTTTTCTCCTTTTGGCCTTTCTTTTAACAGTATGTTTTTTGTAATTATTATTAATGAATTCAATTAAAGTGAAAATAATAATATTATAGAAATTTCTAAGGGCCTCTAGAAAAATCTTGTCGACACTATATCATTTCTTTTAAATAATTGCATCAACAAAGCTTTTCTATAACGACAATACTCAACCCAGAAAGCAATAACAAAATGACATCTATCATCTCTACATTCAACGAAAAAGAAAAACAATCAATTAGCGAGCTTAAAGAGCAGCTTCCTGATATTGTAAAAGACTCTGGCGTTCCTGAGAACTACACTCTTTGGGGCGTTTCCTTGGATAAAAATTCAACAGATGAACGACTCGATGTTATTCTTGTGAAATATTTACGGGCAAGGTATACAATATATATGTACAGGAAGGTGGCATAAAGAGGACAAAAATATTTCAACACTTTTTTTAAACTTAAACTCAGAAACATAGATTATGTCAAATATTATGCCAATATATAAATAATCTCAAAAATAATCAGAATTTAATGCAATATTAAGTAAAATGCATGAAATTCAGATTCTTTTTTTTGACAACTACAGCATATGATTTTTGATATGCATATAAATGCTTTTATGACCAGTCTTAAAAAAAAACGTGTTAAAGTATTTTTGTCATTCCCTGTATATTCCATCAATCTCACTAAATTCACACTTTTATTTTTAAAAAGAAATTTTGACGTTCCGCTTGCGAAAGAGATGCTAACAAAATCCTTGAAATGGCGCCTTGAATTCAGAACAGATGATATACTTACAGAATCATTCCCTTCCGATACATTTTGTAAAGTTGGATTCATTCATAAACATGACAAAAAAAATCGACCTATCACTTATAATCTATATGGTGGTCTTAAGAATGAAGAAGTATTTGGAAATCTAGATAGATTTCTAAGATGGCGAGTTCAATTAATGGAAAAGGGAATTCAATTGTTGGATTTTAAAACAGTTGATCAGATGATTCAAGTTCATGATTATAACTTAGTCACATTCGCGTCGTATGATAAAACTGCCAAGACCGCTAGTAAAAGTGTTACCCAGATTATGCAGGATAATTATCCAGAGTTTTTGGTTCGTATTACTATAATCAATCTCTTTTTTAATACTCAGTAATTAACTTTTTATATTTTCAAAATAGGCGATAAAATTCTTTGTTAATATTCCTTGGTGGGGAGACTGGGTATTTAAATTTATTTCAGTGTTTTTGAATGAACAAACAAAGGCAAAGTTTGTGGTCACATCCGCTAATGGTGTCAAAGATAACATGTTGGTGGTTATTGATGAAGAGAATTTACCGGTTGAATATGGTGGTAAAAGTATTGTACCCGAACTTGAAAATAAGAAAAGTGAAAACCAGCCATCTTCTGAATAATTAAACTTCATGTTACTCGTGGATTTAATTGTGAATTGTAAGCTTTAAAAGAAAGACACAATTTTTTTGGTTTAGTTTTTTGTTGCAAATTTTATGTACAAATTGATGCTGACTAATGTGAGTTTCTTGATAAAATTTTTACTTATCTGTACTTAAAAACAGAATTATATATTTTGCCGTTTTTTCATATCAATAAATTTAAAAGCTTTTGTTACATTAATAGTTAAATAATATAAGAGGAATTTTTTTATACATTTGTATTTAAATAAAAAAAATTTTCAAGTTTTAAAAAATCTATTGAATAAGTGTGCGAGACAATTACATAACAGATTCAATAAATTTAGATAAAAAAAAATTGGGTAGCCTAAAATAATATAGTAACTATAACTAGTGTTCGATCCGTATCGCCACCAAAAATTTTCAAGTAAAATTTCGTTTTTTAGGCAAAACGATGAATTTTCCTGATCGTGTTACGTTACACCTAATCTTGAGATTTGATTGGTCATTAAACTTTTAGGGTGGTGATTTTACCCCCGTTGAATATTCCAAATGCTTAGAAAAACCGTAATTATAATACTTTCTGCTGTAATAAATTATTTTCGTTTGTATTTGTTTTGTTCAAATTACATGAATTTTTTGGTGCTCGACAAATTTGTCACGTGATGTTCGAAACTTTTTTGGGTGGCGATTTTACTCCGGTCGAATATTCCATTGCCTTTTATAATCCTCCAATTTATGCAATGGCTCAAAGTTTTTATTAATACTATCGAGCCATTTGTTACTAACCTCTCTATAACCACACTCTTAGTTTTAAGAATTTGGTGCTTATATTTTTATAAATTGGTTTTAAGAATTTATGTGATTATAAAGCAAATGCGACTATAGAGAAGGTGATTATAGAGAAGTCTGACTGTATTTGGATTCAATAATTTTCAATAATTTTTTTTGTTGCGTTCTGGATTCAGAATTATAAAAACTTTTTGCTCAAATAAATAATCAGAGCTATAGTCTTCCGAAAGAGCATTAAAAATAAAGTCTACAAGGTTTTCTGGTGCAATTACATTTTCTTGATTAGTTTTATTATTTTATTTCGATTTTTTTTCGTTTATTATTAATGGAAATTTGGTTACGGCAATCAATGTATATTTTTAGAATATTTGTTTATTGAATTTTGTCTTTAAAAAATCTTTTGGTTTGTCGAGATTGCAACGATCGCTTTTCATTTTGAAGAATCGAAGAAAATAAATCACTTGCTAAATCAATTAATATTTTATAAATTTTATTATCATGATCCTAATCATGATGAATTGACAATATCACGAAGACTTTCGTATGATTGGCTGTTTAAGTCTATTTAATTTTACATGATTTATCAAACTACGAAGAATAAACAAAACGAAATATATAGAAAGTTTTAATAGGGTTGTAGGACACTATTAAAAATAATCAAAATCCCTTTTGTTTTAGAGAAGTTAGCGTGGTAATAACCTAATTCTATCTATCTTTAAGAAGTCGTTATTATGTTAACTTCTCTAAAACCAAAAATGATTTTGATTGTTTTTAATGGAGTCCTACAACCCTAATAAAACTTTTTATATATCATACTTCTATAAATAATGTAAAATTAAATAGACTTAAACAGCCAATCATATGAAAGCCTTCCTATGGGATTTTACCCCCACGAACCTAGCATGACCACCAAAATCAGTTATGTAATCGCTGTTTAAAACCATCTCCAAAAAGTAATGCAATAGTATCATTTATGATGATATTTGTTTATAATATAGTATCATTACAATGATTGTTTAAAAATTTCTTTTTTTACCATATTTCATAAAAATTTCACTAGTGAAAGCCAATTATTCTGTT